TAAGTTTCCTTTATTAACATTTAAGTGAATCTTTTTACAGATTTTATGAATGGTCATATTTACTATAATGAATATGGATTCAACTCAACTAAAATTTTATTCTTTTTAAATATAAGATATAAATAACTTTTGCTTTTATATAATCCATTAGATATCTCTTGTATACAAATATTAACTCTTACAAGAAATAGTTTTATAAACTATTTTTTTTAGAAAGATTTGAGAGATGTTCTGTAATATACTTAATGCCTTTCATAACATAACAAACTATCTCTACATATACATAAGTAACCTAACGGCTTAAAAAATATAATGATAAAATAAAATATTATGATATTCGCTCTTGCATCCGAATTGATATTTCTTTAGTTTGATGAGACCAAGATAACAGATATTTTCCATCCTCACTTAAGGTTTCATAAATAAAATGAGGATTAAACTCAATAGAATATTTTAAAACAAATTCAGAATTAGGGTTGACTTTTATATAAAGAGTTGATCTTATTACAAGAATTTATTTCTATTTTATGAATTATTAAAAAAAAAAACACAAATTATTTCCATTATAAATATTAATTTATTTGGTTTGAAAATAATTCTTATCTTTCATTTAATAAATATGCATTCTATTATGATTCCTAGATTAGAATGTAAATGCATCATCATCTATTAAACAAACTCTTAATTCATATTACTCAACTGATATTATTTTAATGAACATTCTAATTCTCATTTTCTTTATTCCTTACTAATATTTTATGATCTCTACCACAAGAAATTAATTAATTAAATTGGATATGAAATATTTAAAGATAAACTAAATACATAACCTTATTGAGTTGTAATTTTTTAAGAAAATAACCATTCATTTTAAGACTCAAACAATTTTTTTCCCCACCAGAAATTATGAGATCTTCAGTTTTATTACATATTAAGCAAACTATACTATCAGTATGTCCATCTAATTGTTATTTACAAATCATAATTAATTATTTTCCTTCATTTCCAAAATTCTTATTGTTATCATCACTCCCAGATATAAATATATTTGTTTGTATCTTAAAAAAATTAACATTATCAGTATGTGAGCTAATCTCTTAAGTAATACTTATTATTCTATAATTAATATACCTAAATTTTGGACAAACATCCAACAATAACTAATGATTAATCTTTGTTTATTGCTATAGCATAACAAAAATTTGTTAATTTATTGAACATTACTAAATAAACTAACATTTTTTAAGTTATCATATCTTAAATCCTTAAAATTATTATATTTCATTTGAATTTACTAATTATTCGTAATTTAATGTTTTTGAGCTTAAAGTTAATTTATTAGTTGATTTTTGCTATTAATTAATTCAGTATTTACTTATTAAGAAACCTTATTTAAATTTTTATCTGATTGAATTTCTTTTAATAACTCTTCCCATGAATATTTACTTTTTATTTTTCTTTATCCAAGTTTTAACAAAAATCAATTATTTAAAAAATAGAATTTAATTAATTTAATTTATTTTTCTATCTATGATTATGAAATCTTTTTATAATGGAATTAATTAATTTACTTATCTTTATTAGATAACTTCATTTGTTATTATTAATAATTATTCTTTAATTTAATTTTACCAACTTCTTCTTATTATTTACGTTTCATCTTCAACTTATTTGATAAAATCATTAATATTTTAATCAAAAGCTTTATT